GATGCATATGAAATTCCTCAATACAAGAAAACTCACAGATACTCTTTTCACACTGGTTTTGCTTAACCCCGTACTTTGCTTAGCCCCGTACTATCCTTAACCCCGGACTATTTTTTTGGCTTTTCACACTCGCTGTTTTTAGTCCCGTACTAGCGCCTATTCCGGAATAAGAAAATTCCCGCTGTTCTCACTGCATTTCGTTAACCCCGGATATCGTGTATGTTATGATAGGACATACTTCGCATCTGGCCAGCTGCGATATGCTCCATTGCGTAGTACCGGACTATTTTTCGTTTCTGTTCTCATTCGTTTGCTTAGCACCGCAATTGCGGGGTTAGCAGGAGTTAGCACCACAATTGCGGAGTTAGCCCTGCTATTTTGCAGGGTTAGTTAACCCCGTACTATAGGTGGGGTTAAGACCCCCCCTTAACCCCACCTATAGTACGGGGTTAAGGAAAATATTGCCAGTGTGAAAAGCATAAGAGGTGTGCGTGCTGGAGCCAGGAAGCAGCATCAGATCCCAAACCAAATTACATTTGATAGACCTTTAGACCAAAGTTAAATTTCTGTTCAATAAATAATACACAGTCGATACAGAACAAATTGATTGACTTTACTGAACTCGTACTGCAGCATAATTTAGATGTTGTTTCCATTTCAGGAACGTGGTTGCGTCCATATGACAGCGCAGTGATTGCTGAACTTACTCCTATGGGCTTCTTGTTTCTTCATGTGCCTAGACAGAACAAATTTGGTGGCAGGGTTGGGTTTCTTCACAGATCAAACATACCTGTGCATCAAAAGAGTGATCAATTGAAATTGGACACTTTTGAGTCTATTCACCTAGAAGTAACATGTAATTCAAAATCCGCCAGGCTCATAAACGTTTATCGTTCTGGCTGTGATCAACATGAGAATATTGTTGCTTTTGATAAGTTTTTAAAGGAATTTGAGAAAATGATTGAGGACTATTTATTTCATCCATCTAATATTTTGATATGTGGTGATGTCAACATCCTGCATCCATGTAGACAATCCTGCTGACTGCAATGCAAATCGCTTTAAGTCCTTACGGCAGTCGCATGACCTTGTGCAATATGTTAAGGGGCCTACCCATATACGTGGCCACTGCCTCGATCTCCTGATTACTTGCAGCTCTTCAGACCTGATTTCAGAGGTCCATGTTCATCCATAACTCTCTGATCATTATGGAATCATGGCTACGATTAACCTTACCAAGATACCTCTTCTCTCAACTACGCTTAAATCTCGAAATTTGAAACAAGTGGACATTAAACAATTTTCAGATGATGTGTGTATGTCACTTTCAGGGATAAACATTGAACTTAATTCAGTAGACTGTGCTGTAAGATATTATGAGGAACAGCTCACTGGTGTTCTGGACAAACATGCACCGATCAGCTCTAGGACTTTTCGATCGAGGCCTTCAAGCCCTTAGTTTACCAAGGATACCCCTTAAGCTAGACAGGCCTTGAGAAGATGTGAACGCCAATGACCCAAATCCAAGACCACTTCCAATAGGGACAATTTTAATCAACAAAAAGATGCCGTTCATATATTGATCAACCATGCAATAACTGTACATTATTCAACAAAAATTGATGAAAGTGATGGTGATCAAAAGAAGTTATTCAGTGTAGTAAAAGGGCTTCTCAACACTACATGTAAACGTGTAATGCTTACAGCTGAATCAGATGAGGCCTTAGTCAACACCATCTCTGAACATTTCTCAAACAAAATTGCTGATATTCGCTCTACGTTTACATTGCATGATGCTGAATCTGAGATGGATGATATAGATCCATCCTCAACAGCAGCTACAAACATTCCGACTTTGGATACATTCTGCCCAGTAACAAAGTAGGAAATTGAAACGGTCATTATGAAGGCTCCCAGCAAGTCCTGTGAACTGGATCCAGTCCCGATGTCTCTGATCAAACAATGTGTCAATGTGTTTTCTCCTTTCATTACTTCTCTGGTGAACATGCTTGATGTAAACAAAAAACATTGCACATCACATTCTTAGACCTGGCTGACACGTTTGGCAGCGTGAGTCATCAGCTGATCTCTACATCATTAAGCCGTTACGCAATACCCCAACCACTAGCCCGTTACATCAATGTTCTCTACTCAAGACTGAATGGCAGAGTATGCGGTCCGGGGTGGCAATCGGAACGCTTTGCTTTCAGGAAAGGGATTTTTCAGGGAGACCCTCCATCCCCCATTGTATTTCTCATGTGTTCCAACCCAATTATTGAATATCTTGAAGCCCAGAAGCAGCAATATGGCTACGACTTCGCCGGCCAGAAATTAATAACTACCCTGTATGCTGATGACTTCAAGTACCTGATAACTGGAAATAAAAGGTATCATCAAAAACTTGTTCAAAAAGTAGACAAACTTCTCAGTAGTATGGGCTTAAAGATGATGTTGAGTTCTGGTCATGCGATTGCATTGTGAAAGAAACGGTGTGGAATCGAACAGAAAAGGTTGATCATCTGGCAGAAAAGAATGTGTGTGTATTGCAAGGTTCTGGAATCATCAAAATTATAAGAAATTTGGCCAAGTCTTGGTAAAGTTACAAAAACTGTACACAGAAAGATGTATATATATACATTAAAAAATGGCTGGGCATCCCCCGGTGTGTGGTGCCAATATTGCTGTAGTTCATGCCCGGGGGGGGGGGGGGCTTAATATTCCCACTATCTCTGAACTCCAAACATGTCATTCATTGCCTTGCCTACAGTAGATCGATGCACCATGTGAGAGAGAGAGAGAGAGAGGATTGAGGAGTCCTGTTATTCTTATCAGATGAATGAAATAGCTTGTATCGAGGCACTTCACAAAGACGTATGCATTAAATTTGGTTACATTACGAATCTGCGTTGTGAGGACCCTACGTCACAAAAAGTGCATTGCAGGAGAACCGGCTCGATCATTAACTTGTTTTTTGCTCATTAAACAAAATTATTAAAGAAAGTCTGAACACCATTTTCCAAAACCAAGTTATATTTGGGCTTTTTAGATTTTTGTCTATCTAATCAGCTCAAATTTTTAGTGGAGTGGACTTGTACTTTAAGCATACCGTTTCCACAGTTTAAGCATTTCAATTTCCATTGATGTGTTCTTTCAAACCTATCAAGTTTTTTAACAAGCAGGCTCACAAGATCCAGACTTAAATAATGTTGTATGGAAAAGATGATCACCGTTTTACTGCTTCTTTTGCTAGTTTACTTACCTTCTTTTTTTCCCTATAGTAAATTTACAATTCCAGTAAAATTGTGCATTCTATAGGCAGTACAGTGTATATAGCTATGAAATGATCTTTTAGCTTTCCTGAATGCTTGAGTGAGCAGCAAATTGATGGAAGGGCTTCTCAATGCGTCATTTCACTTAACCCATGAACTAATAGACTGCAAACTCTATCTAGGGACTTCATTAAACCTTTACCAGAGTTTGCACTTGTGCAGTCACTTCACATTTCGTGATTGCCAGCTAGTGCATCACTGGGCTCTCTTCATTGAGAGAGGCCCATTTCCATTTATTACTACCATACTCAATAGTTGTTCAAATGGATCCATCCAAGCAAATCTAGCATCAAGCTCTATGTTAAAGGACTAGAGATCAGCCTCTGTAACATGCACATCAACATCTGCTCACAGCTTCCTAATAGAAAATTGAGAGAATGAGAACAGCCCCCATAACCTTAAATTGGAGAGCAGCAGCACATCTTCTAATTACCACTCCAGATAATGACAAGAGATGGAAAGCACTTCAACTTCGCTTCTTGGTACAATTGGAAGTGTCTGCACCTTGTTGGAACGTACACGATAGCAAAAACAACATAAAATGCAAGGAACTATATCCCAGATACAGGTAATTAGTTTTGAGTATGCTAGATGTGTTACTTCCATTTTTGCCACCTAGAGTTTGGTGCTGTAAAGCGATAATGCCTCAATCATTATTCACACAGAAAATGTTCAGAAATAGTCATCCCATCTAACCTATGAGACTTGTACCATTTGGGAAGCAAAAGAAAAATTAGAAAGAAACAAGTATTGTCTCATGTTGTTCTCCTTGTTCCAAAACATATGTACAAGATCATTTGGAATTCTATCCATGTTTTCTGCTGAATTGCAGTGTACATATCAGCAAGGAGTGCTAAATAACTAACATAGCCTATACACTGCCCTACGCTAGAGGACCCATCCACTCCATGGCTTCTGGCACATTAAACACAAGGTCAAGTTCTGGAAATGGTAAAAAACAACAACATTGAAACAGTTTATATTCAAATTTACACCAATTGTAAAGCAGTACAAATATACGTGTATGACTCTTGCTAAACGAATGTGAAAGAAATTAGTTAATTTACTATATGAATCTTTGTATCTACCTATTATTAGCTTCGGGATAGCTGGCCGCTGCAGAAAAAGAACACAGTAACTCGGACAAGAAATGGGAGATAAACCCCCGAGCCGTCCCGAAACCCGACATGAGTGGCGGCGAAGGCCGAACGGTAACCACGAAAGAGGAAAGGACTTTACCCTTGTCAAACAAGTAAATCAAAAAAAAGTTTGTGCACATTCTATATGATAACCCATTGCCTCCTGTTCATCCAAGCGTGAACACATACCACACAAAAATGATACCAAATGATTTGGGATAAAACACTCTTTCATAAGATGTATCATAATTTACTGTTCATTGATGATTTTTTTAAATAATTCACAATTTTCTGGGTGTAAACTTTTTATTTTACTCACACAGTAGAGTGCATTACATGGAACAAGTAGTAGGAGAGAGAGAGAAAAAAAAAATCTGTTGTCAACAACACTACAAACTGATTCTTCATTAAGTGACTCAATATGTTGAACAGCAAATAAAATGCAAAACACTTCTACCATTTCCATCTCTATCTGTAATTCTTTCTTTTTGTCTAATTCAGAAAACAAAAAGTTAATGAGTTGCCAACTCACCTCTTCTCGAAACCTCTTGACAGTGTCTCCTTTCTGTGACAAAAAAAAGGTGAAACAATCATACAAAGTTAGAAAATGATAAGAAAACCCTGTGGTTTATTTATGGCAAACTATTCAAGGCATACATACCACGACCACAGGAAAATGTAATGGAAAGTAAAAGAGAAACACACAATTAGCAGGTTGAGGTGTGGTGCAATTCAAAAGTTTTCTATAGCCATAACCCATTTGAAAGAAGGCTAATATAATAATTAATATGCAGTGTAGGTTAATGGTCTGTCATAATTAAGCCAATGGGGTACGAGGGTCATTAGCTGTTCACAAATATTTTTTTTAAAACGCTTTGCATCCTATCTTCTTTTGTTCTGTTAATAAAATGATTAAATTGAGAGGATACCATATCAAATACTGAAGTTAAAGGTAATACAAAGTTTTTGGAAATTTTGAAAATTGGGTGGATAGTGATTCTTTACCATTTTGATATATTTGGATGCCACAGTGGATGTACTATAAGCACTATAAAATTTAGCAACTAAAACACTTCTGCTTTTGAGAAAAATGGAATATAAAAATTTACCGATGCTCCCGGTAAATTTTGATAAATTTCAAATAACGTCTATGGTCGTACAATGGTAGCTGCGACCATGAAAATCTCAGAAAATGTAGTTATGATATATAATTTCCAAACGGGAATAGCTAATCGGTCGATTTTAGCCAAGAAACATTGTTTTATAGCTTAATTATCATCTTGACCTTGAGAGGGAGCTATACAACATAAAGACTTTATTATATACAATTTCATAACTTTAGACTCGATTTCAACCGCGACAACGATCACTGAAAATTTTAGGATCGCATATGCTTCCAATGTGTTTATTTTAACCAAATTCATGACCCTATACCAAAACTTTGTATTACCTTGAAGCTTTTTTAGTATTGATTTTGTTGATACCATTATTACAAACGGCTTTCACACTGGTATACCGGATACTACCGTAGTACCCATGTTCATTTACAAAATCATTGTTTTATTTTTCATTTGGGGTGCAGCGGTTAGTCCACTGAACGCAATTTTGTAGACGTGTGTAGAGGAAACTTCAGAACGAAACGAACGTGCCCCCTCTTAGAAAACGTAGACAAAAGTGGGAATTGCTAAATAGAAATTTACTAATAGACTTCTAAACAAGTTCAATTTACTGGTTCCCGTTTAGAATTCCCTATAAATATGCTTTGAAACCAAGAAATCGAGAGAGACACATGGATTTGCATCGTTCGATGTACTTATACAGCGCAATTTTACTGACAATATACTGACAGGTGGAAGGGGGGGTGTCGCACCCCCCCCCCCTTTAGCGATGCCCCTGGTTTTTATCCCATTATTCTTTTAAAAGAAATGCAATTCCTTATGCTCTCGCACTTCTCTTCTATCGTTGTTTAATTCTTTCACTTTCACAAAAATTCTCCCCCCCCCCCCTATATTCCATCTCTTTTTTTTTCTTCTTGTGCTTTTTATTTTTTTATTTTTTTTTTTTGGGGGGGGGGGGCGGGGCGGCTACCTGCCTGGCAAGAGGGACCTCATATTATGCACACTGCAAAATTGCGTCCCCCCCCCCTTTCCCGGTAAAAAATAACACCTTCTTATAATACCATCTCTTCTCCGTCTTTCCTCCTTTCTTCATTTTCCGCCTTTTCTCTCCTCTCTCTCTCTCTTCCTCTTTCTTCCTTTTCCTCTCCTTTTTCTCCTCTTCTCTTTTTTCTCCTCCCTCTTTTCTCCTTCTTTCTCTCTTCCCTTTTCTTTCTTTTCCCCCCTCCTTTTTTTCCATTTATTCCTTTTTTTTTTTCCCTTTCCCCCTTTTTTTTACCGGGGGGGGGGGGGGGGGGGGGGGGGGGGGGTGCCCCCTGAATCCGCCAATGCTATAGTTGTATAGATGTATGCGGCTGGATAGAGGTATAGTCGTATAGTTGGACGGATAGTGACATGCTTGGCCCCCATATACGCCGCCATATTTACCTCACCTAGCTCTTAAAGGCACGCATGTTTTCGTTTGTCATAGCCGTACACAACATAGAATCGCCATTTATTTTCTTTTATGATATTCCACATTTTTTCCAAACAGTTTGATACCCTGTTTATCTCTTTATGACCATAAGTAACGGAATGAGCGTCCATTCAAGATGAATATCTATGCACGAGCTCTTGTAATACATAGCATATATGGGCAAAAACATGCCTATACAAAATCTATAATAGCTCTTTCGGATGCTCGGGAACCCCTCACTTTTTTTCTTCATATATGGATTGAGTATGAGTCAGAGATATGATTTCATATCTCATTTAGCCATTAAATTTATTGTGACATCATCCTAATGGCCTTGGAACTCAAAAAAAAAATTGCATATTATGACGTCAGTATATTTATGGAAAATTGATTGTATCTTTGTATATATTGATCAATTTTCTTCCAAATGTTTATATGTTGTAGCTAAGAGAACATTCTACAAGATCAATGACTACTATACTTCATTTTGATGACCTCATCTTCGTGAAAATTTCAATTAAAGGCGACATGTCAGAATTTTCTTTATTTGCGAGTTATGCCTATGGAAGGTGAATGTCATTCACGTCATGCATCTGCATATCATTGTTCTTTGAGCAGTATCTTGCTTATTTTTGCTCTATTTTCCCCAAAATTTAAGTATGTTATAGCTGATACTATGAGCTATCGAAAGTGTGTCTTCCGTTTTTTCATCAGATATTGGAATCATGTTGAAATTTTGAATTGAAAGTTGAAATTGCGACTATGCCGTTTGTCAGCTTTGCATGTAATGTCTATGGGACATATTTTGGTTGAATCCTATTCCGGTGACCCAGGTTCGATTCTTGGTGGGTCAATTAAAAAATTTAAAAAATCACTTTCTTTTCTTATTTGATTTTACCATCTTCTTCGATTACTATAACATATTATATATAATCACAATAAATGTAATAAAATGCTTAATTTTGCGTGTTATATCTCTGGGAGAGGAATGACAATAGGAATGTCAACTAGGCGTTGTGGCGTGCGCCTGTAATCCAGCTAAAAAGTGGAAGTTACAAACTGATTCAGCTGAGGACGCAGGTTCGAAACTGAGTCACGTCTTTCAGATGGTGACGTTTAAAGGTCGGTCCCAGACGTAAATAATCATATCTGATTGATACACGTCTGTAAAAAACCCAATACACACACACGTCAATAGTGTGCCTACAAGTTTACAACCCTATGGGAAATTTGATTCCTTGTCTTGTATTTAAGCTATATAGAGTTGATCTCCCAAATCTGCTACAATATCAAATCGTCCCATTTCTATGATGCTAGTTTCCTTCCCAGACGTTTATATTTTTCCAGTTATTTAGCCCAGGTATATGCAAGGTTTATGTCTATTCCATGGACATAAAATTGTTTACATGTCTATACTTCTCTCTTTCTCTATATAATAAATATTAAATTCTGTTTATGCTGGAAATATTGAATGCATCGTTCTTCATTGCATCTCTCTCTCTCTCTCTTCAGTCTCTTGCTCTGTTTCCTTCCCCTCTCTTGCTCTGCCTCCCTCTTCTTTTCTTGATCTGTCTCCCTCTGTCTCTGCCTCTCTCTTTCTCTACTCTCTCACCCTTCTCCCTTTCCTGCCTCTTGCTCCTGTTCTCCCTCTTTATGTCTTAGGATGTTCCTTAATTTTCTCTAGCTCTTTTCTTTTGCCCTTTGTATTCTTATTTCACCCCTACCATGTTTCCTTATACTATCCTCTCTCCTTAAACCCCCCCCCCCCCCCCCCCCCCCCCCCCCCCCCGACCACCTCATTCGTCTTCAGTGACGAATTCTTATTTTGTACCTTTCATGAAATATGAACAAATAACAAAAGTTGGTGATACCTGATAACCCTATGTTCAAGTTTCATGGAATAGGAATATATACTTTCAAAATTATCATAAAAATTCAAAATCTTAACCTGATGCCACAACATAGTCTAAGTTTGTTGACCGGAAATGACCTTTGATGACAATACAAAAGTTAAAGCACGTAATCGCACGATGCGTAAACGATGAAGAATGTATGCAAAAAACAATGAACGATGGACGAGTACACACACATGCTTGTACAACAACATGCCACAGCACATGGCGCACGCTATTTCTCAAAACCGGAAATTAGCCTGGGAAGGTCCGATTTATATGCGTCTTTAAAAACAGCTTTGCGTTTATAAATTATCTCTCAGAAACTGGATTCTGGCTCTATGTCACATTCAAAATGCAATTTTTTCAGCGTTTCAATATATCCATATCTAAAGACGGTTGAAAAAGGGATTACGTTTATCCCCTTGAAAAGTTGCCTGAAAGACGTTTGAAAAAATGCTGATTGTAGGCAAAAAAAAATGTACTAAAAACGCACCCTATGTAAGGTGAGGCGAGATCAAATATATATCCTGCTTTTGTCTCTCTTCATTAATGGGAGATACATTTTGACAAGGTTGACGCTTTTAGTGGGCTGATGGTCTATGGGTGCAGCCAAGCCTTCGATTAAGCAGGCGCAGGGCGCAAATTTGCACTCATAAAACCACCAATTGCGCCCATAATCATCTAAAACTAGAAGGCAAGGCGCAAGTGTTTGCCGGGAAAATGCCCCCCTTGGTTATACTACATGCTAGCGCACGTACGTCCGTACTGTGCTGTATGTTCAGATCATGCGATCGCTAGTAGATGGTGCATGCTGTGGTGCACGCACGTACAAATGTATCGAAGGATCAAGAAAGCAAATCGTCAAATGGAGAAATAAACAAGCATTCAAATAGTCATTAGAGATCTGTCAAGGTTTGTTTGTAGGTCTAGTTTATTATTTCATCTCAAATAGAATTTAGAATTCTCTTATTGATAAGTTAAGAACACCTACGATGTTCTCGATCGTAGTTACTCTCATTTCGCCAGCAGCCGACCTAGCCTTGTTTTGGCAAAAAGCTAGCCGGCCAACTTCCCACCACAAACCTTTCGAGTCCCGATAAATTTGCACGCTGCGAATCTCCGAAGGTGCATTGGTTTCGTTGGCAAACTCCAGCCCGCTAGCATCCCATCAGGGAGTGTGTGTGCGAGGAACGATTTTGGTTTCGAGAACGCACGTTACGCAACTTCAGCTGTCGAATGTCTAAGGACATTTTTACATGTACGATTTTTAATACGAATAGTTGGTCAGATTTCTTCTTATTTCTTTGGTTATAGGGTCTACAACAATCAAAAAGATAATTTTTCAAATTTGCTCATACTGCCGAGAGTGTGGCGGAAGATTTGGGATAAACGATGTTAATTGTGAAATTGACAATTTATTTATTCATTTGCTCATCAATATTTTTAGTTACTTTAAAATACTGTTTAATGTGCAAATTAATGTTCTTAATCAATCTTTCCTGTTGATCTTGTTAAGATTCAAAAGTTATTAAATTGATCGTATTCATTATGAATTAACATTCTTTGAACTAGGCCTGAGTCAAACCGTTTAACCGACGGTTATCCGACCGCATTCATCAAAACCGTTTAGCATTTCTCGCTCCGGTTAACCGTTATTTGCATACATATTGGAATGTGCTAATAGCCGATGATAAAGATAATCAAAGAAACCGCAGTGTAATGTTACACCCTGGCCGCTGCGCGCCAGCTTTCTGGCAGCAGTAATCCCCATGAATGAATTTGTAAACAATAAAACAACCAGCCCCCTTCTCTCTTTTCTCACCCTCTTTATTCCCTTCTCTCTGCAATGTGTTCATCGCTCATGTACCTTTTCTTATTACTGCACTCTCAGCTCACAACTTTCTAAATGTTTACACATTCGATGGTCAGTTCCTCTCACATCCCTTCTCCCCCCCCCCCCCCCCCCCCGAGTCTCTCTCTCTCTCTCTCTCTCTCAATATTAATATCCATCCCTTGCCGACTCGCCCCCTAAAATAATGTTCATATAAAAATAAAATACAAAAATATTGATAACAATAATAATTGAAGTTTTAGAAATATCAATAAACAAAGTCTTGGATATTGTGAGTAATTTAAGTTTTTGATCATTCTTCAATTCAGCCGATTAACACAGCCACCCTTTCTATCTAGTATCACTTGTTTTACTTCTTTACTCTCTCGTGTCCCTGCCTCGTCCATGCAGGGACATGCAGGGACATGCTAGCCCATGCATGCTCTCTCAGTCACACACACATGTACACACAAACCTCCGGCGCCCAAATACACTGTACATACACACAGATGGAGAGCTCATGCTTGTCACATGCACACATGTGGGCGTGGCTTCTTGACCTCCCACTGAACTGGGTACGGTGAAAGCACGCGCGGTCACCAACCTGTAATTTATGCTGGTATCAAACTCCACCCACATAGCTAGAGAACCTTCCTGATTGGTCACTAACTTGGATCAGCTCATTGCAGGGTGTGTCTTGGGTGTGTGTGATACACACTTCCACATAATTTCATATGGCAATGATACATGCAGGGAGCTCTCTCTCCCTGACATGTGCAAACATTGCATTGCAAAGGCATATATAAACACGTCACAGATCAGCTATCTTCACAGAGTAACTTTGCAAGGTTAATCATGATATCAAATTCAGATGAGGAATAAATAATAAGACATGTTTTATGTTGTTTATTACTGGTCTCTGTTTATCAGGATGACCCAATTTGTGCCATAGTCCGGGGCTGGGAATGCTCAGCCCGACAGTCTGAAGACCAGCAGGGTTCCGAGCTACAGCACTATTACAAATACTGTATTTTCACTTTTTCAGATTATTATTAAACGGTTAAACGAAACCGCCCGTATACTTTTAACGGTTAACCGTTTAGCACAAAAACCGTAATGACTCAGGCTTACTTTGAACTTATTTAACTTGTGTAGGCCTAATTAATTAGTGGTCATTACCTGTTTTTGGAAAATTGCCCCTGGTTCTGAAGAAATTGCCCCTTGCTCTGGTAAATCCCCGTGGGCAAGGGGCAACTTTTAAAAATAAATTGCCCCTTGCTCCTGGCTGCTTAATCTAAGGCTTGGGTGCAGCATACAACAGAACACAGTTTCATGTACACATTAAAGTTACCATGGGTTTCAGGATTAACAAAACTGAATGCTTCAAACCTGATCCAGCGATCAACTCTTCCAGTACTGAAATTTATGCCTGGAAGACATCTTGAAGAAATTTTCAAAGATCTCCTCTCTTAATCCCTCTCCAATTCACTTCCAGGAACAAATATGAGCTTCTAACTCCCTGATTAACTTTGACTCGTCAATGCATGTTATGATTGTCGGGCATTGGCGCGTGTCACACTTGATTACGGGGAAAGAGAAAGGAAACAAATAACACCTGGGATAATTTCAGATGTAATTAAAGTGAAATTTACCAAAGCCAGAGCCCCTGAGATGTGGTAATCACCCATGAAAATGAGCTTGAGAACTTTCTCTGATCGCATTGCAATATCATGCTTGACAAACCTATTGAATTGCTAAGGCTCTAAATGACATCAAACCCAGAGTGAAGTTCTTCCACACTTTCTAGCATGCATTCCTAATGGTAAATACAGAAAATGGATTATTTAATTTAAGTTTCATACTAAGCCATCCATATCACAGGCAGGCGCGTATGCAGGATTTTTTCAAGGGGGGGGGGGGGGGGGGAGGGGGGGGGGGTTTAACATTTTTAAATCGGGCCGAAAATTTCGCATCGACTCAGCCAGCCGCTGAATAAGCAGGGGGGGGGGGGACACTTTTTTGGGGGGTCTCGAAATTTGGAAATTTCACATTTTGCTGCGTTGGGGGTTGCCTTTTTTAGGTCAGCCATGGGAATAATTTTTCTTTTTTTCTTTTTTTAATTAAAAAAAAAAAAAAAAAAAACCCAAAGGGGGGGGGGGGGGGGTTTTAGGGGGGGTTTATACACATAAAAATACCAAAGGGGGGGGGGGTTGGAAATATATTTTGACAATACTGAACTTACCTTGCCAATTATGCTGCCTACTTCCTGTGAACAAGATGAAAAAAAGAAAAGAAAACAGATAAGGAGACTTCAGAATCCTGTAACATGTGCATTAAAGTCACTAGGAAAGTCTTTTGTAACCTATTCAACAAATTACCACATGAACAATTCAGCAGCAATATATCAACAAATAGCAGGAGCTTATGAATGAAACCACATTAAAATTCATCATAACATTACTAATCATAAAATGAATAATAATAGTAGTACTAGTGATAGTAGTAGTAACAAAAATAATAATTATAAAAATAATAATAATAATAATGATAACATCAATAATATAATTACTAATAATAACAATACTAATAACATTAATAATAGAAGTAGTAAATTAAAATTATAAGGCGTCAAATCCACTTGAAATCCAATGCTCAAGGTACACATGCCGCTATTATGTGGATAATAGCTACCTTACATGTATATTATCCTTAAATTTGGGGTACCGGTAAATTCCTCATCATCTGACATGGTTTGGTCCATTGACCTACAGAGTCGAAGGACATTAAATTTCCTGTACATTGTAGGCTTATTTCAAGTGAGAGTTTATGAAAAATGATGCTTCTATGAGGCAGCTTTTTCAGAGGTTGTTGATTAGATGTTTAATATATAATGCACATTATTTAAGTGAACATAAACCAGAGAATGGAATCAAGAAGAAGAAGAAGAAGAAGAAGTAAGTAAGAAAAAGAAAGGAGAAAAAGAAAGGAGAAAAAGAAGGAAAGAAGGAAAAAAAGAAGAGGAAGAAGAAAGAGAAGAAGAGGAAGGAGATTATTTGTTATATAAAGCGCTTCATCAGTTAAAACATACATGTAGCGCTTCCAGTATCAATTACCACAGCCACTGGAGTCAATTACAATTCTGCAATTTACGTTGCATACTCTTCATTCCACAAGACGGCATTCCAGCCAGCCACCTTTTTGTGGGGTGCACATGGTAATCCAATCATATTGATCTTTGCATTTTATTGGAAACCCAATTAACAACTGGGTGGAGAAGAGCAGTTTGGATACAGTGCCTTGCCCAAGAACATGTAAATGTCACGCAGGGATCGGACCCACAACCTTACATTTCTAATAAAACCATGAATTATATGGATATATTAAAGGTATAGACCAGTTTTGGAAACGCCCCCCTCTCAAAAAATGAAATATATATCTATTTTGACAGGATAGATATCGCAAATGTGTCTCGCAGTCACATAATCTTTCTGTGTACAGTACTTGTAACTTTACCAAGACTGGGCCAAATTTCTTATCATTTTGATGACTCCAGAACCTTGCAGTACACACCAATACTTATATGCTACATGATCAACCTTTTCTGATTGATTCAACAATGTTTCTTTCACAATGCAATAGCATGACCAGAACTAGTCTTTACCTTAAACATTGAAACCTTGAATTACATCAATAACCTGAAAGCCTAATTTTTTCTGAACAGTAGTTTTGAAGGAGTATTCTAAAACTACAGGATTATTTGGTGAAAAGTAGTATATCTGTGTCGACTAGTTTCAAACAGTGTGCTCTGTTCGTCATCTGGAGATTATCTCCAATCGTGAATTGAATACTCATTCACCATGGAAAACGAGGCCAACTAATATGATTCTGATATCATGTACATGTGCATGTTGTCCTCTCCAGCTACATTTATGTTTCATATGTCTTCATTCATAATTTCATACTATTACTGGTTTGTCTTTCTACCCTCCTCTCCTTTCAAATAGTTTCAATTTTTCAAACTCTACCATATGTTAGCATTATTGTTTGTTGAGACTCAATCTCTTTTAACCTCCTTGTTGACATCACGCTTACCATCAACATTTCAGCACATTTATATGTATACATAAATAAGAATAAGATCTTGTGGCAGATTTTTAATACGGAAATAAATGTTTGAACGAGGGATATCAGAGGTCAATTATCTAAAATAAATTTGAGATGGATCATTAACTAACCTTTCCCTGCATGACAAGCCTGATAGTGAGGGTGACATTAGGGGAATCCCCTCCTCCTCCCTGCTGCTGTTGCTTCTCATTGGTCGTCATCTCAGCGAGAGTGCAATGTATCGGGGGAAGTGGTGGTGGTGGTTGTGGTGGTGGAGCCTGGTAGGGTATCCACTGCTGTGGACTGGGGAAGGGGCTGTAAACGAGGCCTAATGGCAGGGCCAGTTTACCTGCTCAAATGGTCCGTTTCCGGAGGAATGGAGTGCAAAGGGGAGGGAGGAGGGGCCTCCGTCCTCTGGGGTGGGTTGGAGGGTGGGTGCAGTAGTCGTTTTGGCAGTGGTGATGGAGGGGAAATGGTTGGAAGTCAATTGGTGAGCTACGCTATATCTCTGATACTGTAGGTTGTGATAAATTACCTATGTGTAGTGCTATATCTGGTGGATAAAGGAAAAGATACAAGACTCATTAGATCTATATATTTTTAATAATGTAATTCAATATTACAAATACATAAAAACTAATCAACAAAAATATAACTTGTACTCATTTGTGAAGAGAAATTATTTCAACAGGTAACAAATATCTGAGATTTAAAAGGGAAATCCAATCTCAACAATAAACTACTGTAAAAGAAAGCAGACTGGTGAAAGTTTCAATGATATCGGACAATAAATGAGAAAATTGGGTACTTCAAACTGGCTAAATTGGCAGTATCAATGTGCAGTACATTTCCCATTTGTTTCACACACACACACACACACACACACACACAAAGACTAAACTGTGAATTTTTCAAAATGCATGACTTGGGTTGGTCTTTTGTTTTAGAGAACCTTTAATAATATGCTACCTAAAATACATTTGATTAGTGACTCAAGGGAGAAGGGGCTGAGAAGAAAAACAGTAATGTCTTATATTTTTCTACCTGACAAACTTGAGAGTTGTCCATGGCTGCGTCACAATCCAGTAATTAAATTGCCAATTCACGATTTGCATAGATTCAGTGATCTCGTATTTTAAACACTCATAACTTTCATATTATTGGTCAATTTACGACTATCATACAAGAGAAATTATTAAAAGGATTAGATTAGATCTGCATTTAACCTGTCTATTATTGAAAACACAATGTGCAAAGATCTACAGACAAGAATAGTTAAGGCCTTACAGTGGAAACCCCAGATGTAGATCATTACGAACAAATTGCACACCTGCAGACATAATACATGTAGCTAATTTATTCTAAACTCAGAGTGAAGATCACACCTGGGACAGGCAATCCAAAGAGTGTGCATTCCTGGAGCTTCATGATAGAGTTACAGCCTACATGTGCATGCACTATAACCACGTGGGGGTCATGAATTAGCTCAGCAGAATACACACATATTTTAGATGTTTTCTTAGGTATCCAGGGAGCAGGGTACACTGTGAACAAACAAGGCATGTATTGGGTGTCCACTGCAATGGCACCAAAAGATGGTGCGAAATCCTTTAGCTACCCATATCAATCCAAGAACATCCTGAATACAGTGTGTTCATGTTGGTCTATGAGAAAAGAAAGGTTTCACTTTACACTTTACTGCCAATGCCTGAGCTTTGGATGACAGTGAGAAATTTCAGTGGATATTAGGCCCGAGTCATAACGAGTTTTGTCAAACCAGGTTTGACTTGAAAATTGTGGGCGGAGACTGTGGGGGTGTTTACGCGCTCTTTTCAAGCGTACCGTATCCATACTCTACCACTCCAGAGGAGCGCTTGAACACTCCTGAAGCGAACCGTAGCACGTATGAAGCATGCTAGATACTGAAGTATGAACGCAAGACGGTCTACAGCGTGCTGACCCGAAAGTGATCGAGCGCCCAATTGCAGAAGCTTATTTTTTTATTTGTTATTTCACTTATAAAGACTGTTATACATGACTACTTTACATCAAAAAAATGAATTCTATACTTAGCAAGAAATGGATATTATTTTTATTTGACATTTTTAAATATTTCTTGAATTAATTAATTGATTTAATTCTTATAAAGGCCTGATCTGAAAGACTACGTAAAACAAGTTTTATTTAATTTTTAATCTGTTTCTATTTTGATTATTTCAATTTAAACGACTTAAATTTCTAGCCCTTAAATTCTATTAAAACGACTGATGTGGAAGACTAGTTAACACACTATTTCAGCAAAACCGGGGGGGGGGGGGGGGGGGGCTTTGGACGAATGGTCACGTTCCAGTCAACACGACACTCCCAACGCACCCTTGTTTCATAACCAGGGGGGGGGGGCTTTGGACGAATGGTCACGTTCAAGTCAACGCGATTCTACGCTTTCGGCATAAGCCGCAAATGGGACATAGTACCTTTAACCCCACCTCTAGTCTGGGGTTAAGCAAAATGGCAAATGCATGCCTACATTATAATTCAAGATGGCAGCCCGCATGTTTTACCTCTTCTATTAGACCAATATAGACCAACGCTTACTTTACAGCATTCATCTCAATGAGTTTTTATAGTTTTGTACAAATGATAACTATCTGTCCATGCACAGATAATATATCCAGTCTGGCATCCAGGCCCAAAATGAAATGCCTCACCCTATCAGCAGACCTAACCTCAATACAGCAGCTCAACTCACAGTCTTGCTACAACTCCATGCTACTAATTGGGAGGAATTAATGATGACACCAGGTAAGATGTAGCATCAGCAAAAGGTGTTGATTTCATCTTTGCAGATGAGCTCCACTCAAGCCTTAGATTTCTTAGGTCCATGGATATAGGAAGTAATGAAGGAACATATTTTTGCCAACAGAGCTACACCTCCATGCCCCGAGCCAAATCAATCAGTTCCTAACCATTCTCTTGACACCCACTAGGCTTTTCTTTATCAGCTCGAGATTGTCATAAAACCCGCTATATTCAGACTCGGGATATTATCCCAAAGCTCGGAATTGTGTCTTCACCAGACCGATACGCTCATCACAAACTAGCTCGAAAAATAAGCCAGAGATTGGTGATACTTGATAACCCCTATGTTCAAGTTTCATGGAATAGGAATGTATAAAAATTCAACATCTTAACCTCGAGTTTAAGTTTTTGATGATGATTCCACAACATAGTCTAAGTTTGTTGACCTGAAATGACCTTTGACCTTGACTTTGTAACCTGAAATTCTACTCCTCACATTATTGGGGATACTTGGATACTTGATAACCCTTTAGTCAAAGTTTCATTGAATAAGACCTTATACTTTCAAAATTATATAAAAAAATCAAAAACTTAAAGGGATAGTTGAGTTCTGTTTCCAGAAAGCAAATGCATGATAAAGGTGAGTGAGCTGAATACAAGGGAGAGCTTCGGCAAAGTGCTTTGTGAAGGGCATAATTTATCGAGACTGAAAAAAAAACCAAAAAAAAAACTCTCTCCCCTTCAAATTAGGAACGTAGTTTTACTTCAAATAGTATATTCTATTATTTATTTGCATTATGTAATTCATATCCTGTACCTGTGTATAAGATTTTTCCCAACGGAAAAAAGTGCGCCTTATACACGAAGATTTATGGTAATCACAGTCAGATAAGCAGATGGCCCCTGAAATTGGAAAATTACGTCGTCAGATATTTCGTTTAGTTGCTTTGTGGGGGGGGAACACTTTTTTTGGGGGGGGGGGGTTAAAATCTTTCCCCTTTTTTTTTTGCCAGGGACCCCCGGGCCCCACTGGCTAGCCCCACAGGTCTAACACTGTCAGGGCAACACAAAATACTTCACTTGCCCTGGCCCAAGGGGATTAAGGATGTCTAAATCAAGGCTATTCAGCGGCAAGTAATTCAAGAATTTCTGAAATGTACTCCAAGAGTATAGACAGCTATAGTGCCTCTTTATCAGCTTTAGCGGGGCAGGCAGCTAGCCCAAAGGGTCAATTGCAATCTGGGCGAACCAGAAATACTTCACTTGCCCTGGCCCATGGGGATTAAAGCTGTGCAGTTCAAGACTATTCACGGGCAAGCATTTCGAGAATTCCTGAAATGTACTTCCTGGGTAAAGAGGGCTATAGAAAATGCCTCACGGCTTTATCGGGGCAGGCAGCTAACCAAAAGGGTCAAATACAATCCGTAAGGCATTTTCTATAGCCCTCTATACTTTTGGAGTAAAGTATGCACTACCGCGCATGCATACTTTCTCTTCGCCATGTTGACTCGACGATACAACATGGAAGAATCGTCGGGGTAGGACGAAGAATCAGCCCCTTTTTCCCATCGAAGACTTCTTCAAATTATAATTTCAAGTTGCCAGATAGATGCCCAGAGGAGTCAAGCAACCTAGTAAGTCAAAACTGTAATTACTCCTTTTGCATATTTTGAGATAATGTTGCCCAACTCGCTGTTTGAATGTTTTTCGATGCACCACCTGAAACTCCGACGCCTTCGGCATCGGCGTCAGAGCTTCCTGGAGTTATGTACATGCAAGCTAGCTATACGTGGATCGAACAGCTAGCTAGCCGTGTGCATGTGCGCGCGCTCCGTTAATTTTTGCTTTAGGACACCCTCTCCTGTCCTCTTATTGTCAGTTTGTTTGCGTTTTTGATCGTATACCCTGTGAGTCAAAAAAAGTTTACACCTAGAAAATTGGTAATTATTAAAAAAATCATCTATGAACAGTAAATTATTATACATCTCATGAAAGAGTGTTTCATCCCAAATCATTTGGTATCATTTTTGTGTGGTATGTGTTCACGCTTGGATAAACAGGAGCTCTTTTGTTTTCTTCGTATTTATTTGTTTTCTTGATCCGACTTCGTAACATGTGCAGTAGAATATAATTTTGCATTCTATACCTTGCTTTCAGGGGAGTAGATTATCTCAATCACAAGAAAGAAGGAAAAACATGAAATTCGAAGTACAAAAGGTAGTCAATTTAAAAGGTGTAATCTTTAATCTCAAAAATTGTATTTTTAAAAAAAAGGAAAAAAGATCAATGCCTCTTACAGTTTCTACATACAGGAAGATTTTTTTTTGTATGGATCATTGGTTGAATATACATGATTTCATCATGAATGGTGTGTTCAATAAACCTATGAACATCCACAAATTGCGGATGTGAGATGCTTGTAGGATACTTCACCTTTTTTATGTTTTGAAAATCATTTTTATTGAGGAAAATCATACCGTCGTATTAACTTTTAAAAATTGTATTAAATATTGTGTGTGTTAAAGATACTATGTCCCTTTTGCAGGCAACATCAAATTCTGTAGGACTTTGCAGGAATTATGAATATGTCATGTATGTCCTATCTGTGAAATTTAAATGTTAGCAGTGTCCTAATATTCAAATTATGCAAGGAAACCTGTTTAGTTTCTAGACTTCACTGTCAGACACTATTTAGTGATTGACTGGCTTTTTTTTCTTCTTTGATAATAACATAGATAAAATGAGCTGTAAAGA